CGTCCAATAGGAATTGAGCACGGCAGACGATGTCCTATTCCCACCTAGCGACACTTTGTTGATATTTCGTAGTCGTTTGGTATAAATTTAGCACTTTATATAAGCGATGTATATTGCTTCTAATTTGAATATACTTGGGCCATCCAATAAATAAGTTTCCCTATTTTTTTTTACTGCGAACGAAACGTTGTAAAAATTTGTTAGTAGAGTAATAAATGGTCACTAGGATGCGTTGGAAGCGCGTGACCTTCAAAATCACGCTACTCATACGCGCAAGTCCGTAGCGCTTCAGTTTCCATGGAGCTACCACTGGTGAACGTGTCCACTTGCTAACTCCGTTCTGTAATTCGTTTTTTCACGGCGAAAAATGAAACTGCGGTCAATATTCATCGCAATTTAGTGTCAGTGTATGGTGAAGGATGTATGAGTATCCAAATGGTTCGCCGATGACGTTCATTGTTCTTGGAAGGACGGCAAAACGTGCATGATAACGAGCGAAACGGCAGGCCCGTTACTGCTACGGACAATGCAGCCGTTGCTGCTGTTCGTAATGTGGTGGAAGCAGATCGCCCCGCCACCATTGACGAAATAATGATTCGACTGCCTCCTGGAATCGAAATTGGACGCTCTTCGATTGGAACAATCATGTCAGATGTTTTGAATTTTCGCAAAGTCTGCGCAAGATGGGTCCAGCGTTTGCTCTCGGAAAATCACAAGCAACAACGGATGGAGGCAGCCCGAGCTTTCCTGGAAATGCATCGAAGAGATGGAGATCAACTGTTTTCCCGTATTGTCACTGGAGATGAAAGCTGGGTGCATCATTCAACTCCAGAAACTAAACGACAAAGCATGGTGTGGAAGAAGCCTGAGTAAATTGCACCAAAAGGCGAAGGTCACAATCTCTGCAGGCAAAGTTATGGCTATCGTCTTTTGGGACTGTAAGGGTGTTTTATTGGTTGACTACCTGCCCCCAAACACTACGGTTAACGCTTCGAGGTACTGCGAAGTCCTCACTAAACTCAGAGCTGCAATAAAACGGAAGCGTCCTGGACTTTTGTCTTGGAAAGTGTTACTCGTTCATGACAATGCTCGCCCTCACGCAGCTCGAACGACCCAAACGTTGCTGGAAAACGTCAAATGGGAAATTTTCATACATCCACCTTATTCTCCGGATCTTGCCCCAAGCAACTTCCATCTTTTTTCAGCACTCAAGTTGCACCTTGGAGGCAAGCACTTTGCGAATGATGACGAAGTGCAGGCAGAGGCGAACCACTGGCTACGAAGACAGGACACGGCTTGGTACAACAGTGGTATCAAAAAATTGCTACAACGCTACCAAATATGTTTGGACAGAAATGGTGATTATGCAGAGAAGTAGTCTATGAGTTGTATAATGAAAATAAAAGAACTGAATAATTGTAAATAATGTTGTTCATTTGTTAAAAAATAGGGAAACTTATTTATTGGATGGCCCTCGTAGATGTTTTAGAGAGTAGTGTGTGAAAGTTGGTGAAAAAGAGTTGTTTAAATCGTCCAATGCAAGTGTTACGACTTGGTAATGAATCCCGATTAAACACTTTTCTTCTGAATAAAATATTACTTTAATGGTCCCCGATTTCTTTAGAAACCCCATCAGTTAATACACACACAAACCTATAGCTTTATTAAAACCACCGGTCTTATACATATTCACCACAGGAAGAAGGCATAGATGGAGCTTCTATACTACAGGCAGCACAGAACCCAACAACAGCCTCCAAGTCCGACGCATGTTCAGTAGCCACGCCGTACATAGGTTAGCGTATCACTGAAAAGACGAGTGTGGAATCAGCCGCGTTCTAGTCTTCACTTTCCTCATCCAAATGGACCACGGCATTTGGATATTCTATTATTCTCCTTCGAACGGTGACTGCGGCCTTGTAGAATCCATATAAACCAAAGACCTTGATCAAACATCATTCATTCAGTTATATTTGTTGACTATCGGATTGAGACCCATCAGCGACACAAGTAACGAGCAAGTGAATACATGACACTTATAAGTACAAAAGTCGAACTGTAGAACAGATTGAATGCCTTCTTCGGGAAGAGCGGAACCAATACTCTGTCCTTAATCTGATTCTAACTACCAACATTTATCAGAAGTTTAGTAAATTAGATTGCGAACATTAGCCACCAATTGTGATAAAGAATTGAAATTATTTTTATTTTTTCTCATTATTATCAACATCCTATTGCTCTCCACCATATCTGGGATAAAATATCATTACTATTTTATATACAGTTAAACTTGTCTCTTGGGACCCATCAAAATAGGGTGCTATAGACAGGTCACCTTTAATGTAAATCGCATCGTACTAAGTATTCAAAATCGGGCGCTATAGAGGAAGGTGCTATTTGAAGGGGGCGCTATAGACAGGTCACTTTTAATGTAAATCGCATCGTACTAAATATTCAAAATCGGGCGCTATAGAGGAAGGTGCTATTTGAAGGGGGCGCTATAGACAGGTCACTTTTAGTGTAAATCGCATCGTACTAAGTATTCAAAATCGGGCGCTATAGAGGAAGGTGCTATTTGAAGGGGGCGCAATAGACAGGTCACTTTTAATGTAAATCGCATCGTACTAAGTATTCAAAATCGGGCGCTATAGAGAGGAAGGTGCTATTTGAAGGGGGCGCTATAGAGAGGTCACTTTTAATGTAAATCGCATCGTACTAAGTATTCAAAATCGGGCGCTATAGAGGAAGGTGCTATTTGAAGGGGGTGCTATAGACAGGTCACTTTTAATGTAAATCGCATCGTACTAAGTATTCAAAATCGGGCGCTATAGAGAGGAAGGTGCTATTTGAAGGGGGCGCTATAGAGAGGTCACTTTTAATGTAAATCGCATCGTACTAAGTATTCAAAATCGGGCGCTATAGAGAGGAAGGTGCTATTTGAAGGGAGCGCTATAGAGAGGTCACTTTTAATGTAAATCGCATCGTACTAAGTATTCAAAATCGGGCGCTATAGAGAGGAAGGTGCTATTTGAAGGGGGCGCTATAGAGAGGTCACTTTTAATGTAAATCGCATCGTACTAAGTATTCAAAATCGGGCGCTATAGAGAGGAAGTTGCTATTTGAAGGGGGCGCTATAGAATGGTTTAACTGTTTAATATTTTCATTTATAATATGTAAAAAATATATTTGACACTTTTGTCAACCTTTTTCAATTAAAACAATTTCAACTACAAACCGTTACTGCAAGGTAGTGGTCTGGATCATCAGTGGTGAGCTTTCACAGCGATTTCTCCAGAGTCTAATCTCTCAGACATTATATAGAGCCGTTTTTCCTCTTTATTTGGCACTTTGGAGGGTTTCTTGGTCAATAGATTTGAAGGACGTAGAAAAAACACACATATTTAAAGGAGCATTTGTTGTCGTTGTAGTTGTGTCCAGTGAAGAACCTCAGATGTCTCCGTACATCTCTATCACAGCAATTTTCTCTATCTTGGGTGTCTAAAGCTGCTGTTCTGGGTTCATTTTCTGTTGTTGTTGTCGTGTTCAATGAATAGCTTCAGATGTCTCCATACATCTCTATCACATAAGTCATAATATCAATTGAAAAAGCCCTGTACGATTTATGAATGAATAAAACAAAGCATCAAGGGCTGCGTTTCTTTATTAAAACAAATATATACGAGCTTTCGGGCACATACTCCCTTCTACAGGAATTAATAAAACAATAATCCAACTAGTTTGAAATAAGATTTATATATAAACTAGCGGACGTACCCGGCTTCGCTCGAGGTTTTACCCGAGTAAAGGTTTGTCTAACGAACATTTGCCCGTGTTTTACCCGAGTAAAGGTTTGTCTAACGAATCTCTCGATAAAGTGAACATTTTTTCCCGGTCCCTTGAAAAATACTCGATAAGTTGAATAAATTCAATATTAATCGGTACCCGAGTAAAGGTCTGTCTAACGAACATTTGTTAAAACAATTCTCTATAGACTTATAAAAAGAAATAGATATATTTTGATAATTTGAAACTGATAAAGTGATCATTTTTTCCCGGTCCCTGTGTGCCGTGTCATTCTGAATTTTGTCTTTCCTAATTTTCTACATTACAAAATCATCGTTTTATCTAGTGAACATTTTTTCCCGGTCCCTTGAAAAATACTCGATAAGGTTGAATAAATTCATGGTCGTTTATGGAAGATGGACGAAGTTCCCGGAGGTCATCTTGGGCAAGCTCCCGCGAGGCTTTTTTTCTTGTCTACTTGGCATAGCTGTGTCACCAACTCTGCCCTGATTGGTCGGTGGGTACTTTGACTGTCGGCCGGCGGCCGGGCGAATCCATTCTCGCACGGGGTCTGCCCCACTCCAAACTTTTGGCAAAGCACTTTCTAATTAAAGATTATTGTCTTAAATAATCTTTAAGAACAAAAAGTATAATAATTGAACGATAGGAAATTATAGTAAATAATTATACTAAACTAAATGATGTAAAAATAATTATACATGAAATTTGAAATAAGTTTTAGAAAAGTTATCGTTAAGTCCACGGGAAAAGATGTAGCCAAAACAAATAGGTTTTTAACAGTGACACGTGAGCACCCGCCTCGAGACGCGCTCCTCTCTCCTAACATTACTCCCCCTCTTGAAAAAGCCTATCTCCGTCTCAATGGTGGCGCTGCTTGCGAGTTAAAGCTACAAATCTGCAAATAACTCTAAGGATATTCAAGATATTAAAGAAATTATTTTTCGTAAACCTTTCCGGGGATATACCTAATAATATCCCAAAATTTCACGGCGATTGGATGTATGGTTTTTGAATCCATAGAGGACACACACACAGACAGACAGACACACAGACATTCATTTTTATATATATACTAGCCGAGTGACCCGGGCAACGCCCCAGGTTTACCCTAATTAAGTATAGATAGTGGCTTGAAATTGAAATAGGTATATTTTAATTTATTAGAAGTAGCATTTCAAGAAAGGTTAAATAAAATTATTCCTAAGCACAGTATATACATTTGTGCACATCTGGTGGAAATTATCATTTATAGACGAATGACCCGGCTTCGCCCGGGAATTCCCCCGAGTGCAATTTCCTTCATACTGAAAGAACATTGCTAATAAATAGTATTAGAGCCATAGAATAGCAACACCGAAGTAATACATAGTTCAAATAGTTGGCAGATTTTCCACCCAACCTCCGAGGTACCCGCCCCAGCGTGTTAACTCTTATATATAGTGGTGCATCCTCTGTAGGTCTATTACACTCTTTGGGTAAAAAAGGGATAAGGATTGAAATTGCTTGAGAAGAGTGACCGTGATTGACCAAGCCTAGCCAGCAGCCTGTAATCTAATGTTTTCAGACCCCAGTCAAACATTCGTAGATGTTTTTCTGAAAATAATTAAAAAAAAAAACTAATATTAATATAAATCATAATAATCTGCAACTGTCCTTGAATATTCTAATTCTAGAGATTTTACCTTTCAAATATATACTTTTATAGAGAGAATTATGAAAATAAGATACCACTCAAAAACAACAAAAAAAAGAGACTAAAATAGCATTAAAAAAAAAAAATTATTCATGACAACACAGAAGAATACACAAAATTTGAAGTTTTATTTTCTGGAGCCAAAAAATAAATATTTCTTCCTGAGCCAACTCTAGAGCAGGCAACATACAATTGCCCATGCGAGAAACAGGGTTGCCCCAAGTCAATGCCAGCAATTTTGAGGGAGTGACCTTGAGCCTTGTTAATCGACATGGCAAAAGAAACTTGAATGGGGAACTGCAATCTTTTAAAATGCAAAGGAGAATGTTTATCATCATGAATCAGAGGAATCCGGGGAATAAAAACCTCTTCATTTTGAAAACAACCAGTTAAAATGGTTGCCTCTACCACTTGAGGCCACAATCTTTTAACACAGAGACGGGTACCATTGCAAAGGCGGGGTGCATCAATATTTTGTCATTAAATATATACGTATATAGAAAGAATTATGAAAATAATATACCACTCAAACAACAAAAAAAAAAAGACTAAAATAGCATTAAAAAAAAAAATTTATTCATGACAACACAGAAGAATACACAAAATTTGAAGTCTTATTTTGTGGAGACAAAACATAAAGATTTCTTCCTGAGCCAACTCTGGAGCAGGCAACATACAATTGCCCATGCGAGAAACAGGGTTGCTCCAAGTCAATGCCAGCAATTTTGAGGGACTGACCTTGAGCCTTGTTAATCGACATGGCAAAAGAAACGCGAATGGGGAACTGCAATCTTTTAAAATGCAAAGGAGAATGTTTATCATTATGAATCAGAGGAATCCGGGGAATAAAAACCTCTTCATTTTGAAAACAACCAGTTAAAATGGTTGCCTCTACCACATGAGGCCACAATCTTTTAACACAGAGACGGGTACCATTGCAAAGGCGGGGTGCATCAATATTTCTCAATAAAATAATGGGAACACCAACTCGAAGTTCTAAGTGATGTGGTGGCATCCCAGAAGGTTCTAAAGAATTTAAAAACTCTGTTGTATATTCCACGCAATCCTCAGCATCAATTGTGGAATCCACAGAAGTATATAAAATGCTTTGCCCTGGTATTTCTTTCAAAAGCTGAGCATTTATGGCATCAACTACACAATTCCTTGGAGCCAAAATTGCCCGCTCACAAAGCCAAGGATAGTAATTCGCCCTTCCCCGGTTAAACATCTCCCCAATGTTAGGAAAAACACTATTCTTTAGGCCAGAGAGGGAGTCAACAGTGTTAACCAATTCATTTGAAAAATTAACATTACCATCCGTATCATTAAGTTGGCCACTTCCAAGTTGAAGCAAAAATTGTGAACATAACAGTGAGTTGGGATCTCCTGAATTGACAGCCCGCATATTTGTTGAAAGAGTAAGTCTTTCAACAAATGACCAAAGTGGGGATGCCTTTAAGCAAGCATGCAACTCATCTGCTATTGTACCTCTAGGGATAATGGGCAATATCTGCCTGAAGTCACCGGCCAACAACAACACTACACCTCCCATTGGTCTCTGATCCTGCCTACAATCTTTAAGTGTTATGTCAACTGCCTCTAAAGCATGCCTGTGTGCCATAGTACATTCATCCCAGACAATAAATTTGCATTGTCTAAGAACTTCACCCATTGCGGAATCAGCATTCAAATTACAAACTGGTACCTCATCCCTGGTCAAATCTAAGGGTAATTTGAAAGTGGAATGAGCAGTTCTGCCACCATGCAACAGAGTGGCCGCAATACCAGAAGAAGCTGTAGAAAGAGCAATGTCCCCAGTACTTCGTACCTTTGTAAGAAGAAGATTGATCAGAAAAGTTTTTCCTGTGCCCCCCGGAGCATCAAGAAAGTACAATCCGCCAGCATTGGAATCAATTTTAGAAAGGATCCTATCGTAAGCCTCCTTTTGTTCAGGGACATTGGCAAGTTTCGGTTCATTCGAAGCCACAAATTGTAGTAACCTGCTGAGATCATACGATGTTTCTCTTAAAAGTTCATGACTGGTTCGGTGAGTAACATTGTGCTGTGGGGACCTCATGCCAAACTTTGTCAAATGGAAACCAGTCATTTGCAGAACTTTTTGTTCTAAAAGTATTAAAGCCTGATTTGACATTTCGGATGTCAGCTGTAAAAGACCGTCATTGGCTTGCTGTCTGGCAAGATTCAGAATATCTGCAGACATTGGTTCTTTAAATTGTGCCCAGATATCTTGAGGGTTGGTAGGGTGGCAGCAGGTAAGAATAATAGCAAAAAGTTCCCGGATTTTTAAAGGAGACTCACTTAGCACTGCTTCCTGAATACAATGATGCCATTGCTGGTCATTCTCAAGCAACCCCAAATGCAGACATGCCTCTTTATATGTTTGACAGAGCACACCATTGATTGTTCTGAGGGCTGCAAAAGAAGTCGGACCACGAACACTATGAAGCAGCATGCGAAGATAAAAACATTCCTCAAAATTTGGATGAACGGTGTAGACTCTGCCAATAGCATCAGAAGCAAAAGCAACTTGGTCAGCAATGCGAGTGCCTTGTTTTCGAGGCTGCCATGATTTAGTAGCAGACCAAATGTAGTAAACAGGAACTTCAACATAGAGAAGTGTTTTTGCAAAGTTATCGCGCTGGCAAAGGGCAAAAAATTCTGTCAACGTGGTCTTAGGTGGACGGTGAGCCTGTAGTGCAGCATTAGCAGAAGTAAAATATACACGCTGCCCATTTTCCAAGTGTACAGAGAGATGTTGAACCATTGGATGGCGTCTGTGAATAGGGAATCCCAGAATGCGCCAAACAGCTTCATTGCTACTAATATATCGACCATGTTGGTACTCTAGCACTTCATTAGACTCTGTTTGAGCACCACTAACTGCAAAAATTGATTGGTCTGAACCCTTGTATATGTATTTGCAGATATATTTTATAGCAGAGATTGAAGCACAGGACTCCACATTGATGTGAGCATCAAATAGTCTGCATAGAAGAGGCGAATATGGCACAACATACCTATTATCAATGGTAACATCAGTCATGCGCACAACCTGAACACCATTCTCAATGGTGAAAACTCTCACTCTTTTAACAAAAGAAAAGCCACCTTCCTCAGGCCTGCGACGTCTGTACAATGGGTAGCCATCCCTATCTGTCTGCGTTTCAGCCAAGAGTAGCCGTGGATATTTCTTTTGGCATCTACCCCGTTCCATGCAGCCAGGATTAGGATACCCATGTCCACATGGCCCATGAATCATATTTTTGGTTACAGTCCGAAACAGTGAAGCATCAACCTCCGCATTGGGGATTTCAGCACAAATGATCGAATCAATCTGGTTTGGGCGAATCTTTTCTTTAATCCACAATAAAATATGCGCATGTGGTAGCCCTCGCTTTTGCCATTCAATGGTATAACACCAACATTGGGGCTTGCCAAAAACATCACCCTTGGTGATCAAATCTATAAGCTTGGTAACTTTCAATTGAAAAATGCGAGCAACCAAGTCATGCCGAACAAATGCACCTTGGGTGGGGAACTGCATTAGTTTTATCTCAGGCCACTCAGGATTGCATGTAAATGTAATAAAAAGGTCTGGGCGACCATATTTACGGACGTAAGCCATGCAATCCTGGGCATACTCATGCATGTGCCTTGGACTGCCCACAAAGGAAGAAGGAAGAATAACTTGTCTTCCAATAAGGGCATGACTCCTGTCAGTGCGAATAGCATCTAACAGATTGATATATTCGGTTGCACGAAGTTGAGCTTGATGCGCTGAGATGTAATGCAGCCTTTCAGATTCCACCTTGGCATAAATGTCGACCAGAATTTGATGGGTCAAATCTCCAAAGGCCAGTAACCAATTTGTTATGCCAGGATTACGGCTACGAATCATTAGCAGTGAAGCATAAAAATCCATGCAAGAAACCGTCTTGTGCGCCGAAGGAACCCCATTAATCAGCTGAGGGATATGGAAATGATAACCATCTTGACCATTCCAAAAAACCAATGGGTATTGCAGGGCGTCATAAGACCTGTGAAACTCGTTAATCCTCTGCACACCACTGCCTCTTTTGGAAAGAACAATGTCACGTCTGTCACAGTTTTCCTGCACAATAACAATGGCAACCTCATTAATGGTTGGAGCATTGAATGTGCGAGGATGGTGTCCAGGCGGTGCTTTGTCAGCCTTAATGACCAACTTGTAATCAGGAGAAGGCATTTTTTCAATGGAAGCTTTGAACAAATGGACATAAGGATTATGTTGATGCAACATATCTTGCAAAATGCTAATAATGTGGGGCTTAGTGATAGGAAAGTTTCTATGGCGGGTGGCAACCTCAGCACTACTATCTCCGATGAAGAAAACCTGAAGGAATGCTGGCTGTAGTTGGCGGCTATCAGAGTCGAGTGGTGGCAAAACAGAGCCAATTCTATGATAGACCTGGCCTTGGACCTTAAACGTTGGCATGTAACCTGGCAACACAACACGACTACCACACCCAAAAGATGTCATTTGGAAGGCATTGTTATAGTGACGGACACGTTGCATGAACTCAGCCGAGTGAGGAGAAGACCCATCGAGCAGAGTTCTGAGAGCTTCTGGGGGTTCAGGTAAAACAGGAATTCTGACCTTACCTGCAGAACAGCACATTCCAGGCCGCTCACCATTGTACTTAAAGGCAGTACAATGTTGACATTGTTTTTCCATATGGCCAATCTGAAGAAAAGTAAATTGTTCATAATTCAGGGCGGATTGTAATGGAAAGCAGCATTGAGCATGTCAGCCCAAGTGCTAGCTCGTTGCCTGAAATACCGCAACTGGTCAGCCTCCTGTCGTGTTTGGGACTGCTGGGGAGTCTCTGATGCGCGTTGAACTCTGTGGCGCAGCCGGTCACTTTGGAGACGGGCTTGAGACTGTTGGGGATTCTCTGATGCGCGTTGAACTCTGTGGCGCAGCCGGTCACTTTGGAGGCGGGCTTGAGACTGTTGGGGATCCTCTGATGCGCGTTGAACTCTGCGGCGCAGCCGGTCACTTTGGAGGCGGGCTTGAGACTGTTGGGGATTCTCCAATGTGCGGCTACTTTGGCCTCTAGCAGCTCGGGCAGCCATGCGTCGAGCTGCAGGTGTACTTACTCCAATTGCAGATCTTTTGCGAGGCATATCAAATGGGATGATTCAATTTGAAAATATGTCCTAAAAAAACAGAAATAGCACAATCAGTACCAAAAATATATCTGTATATATATAAAAAAAAAAAAAAGCTTATAAGGAAAACAGTGCAGACCCAAAACATGATTTTTTCAAAAGAATAACAAAACAAAGGCCATTACAACAATTAAAAAACATAAGCCCATTGTTTATATACAGTAATAAAAGTTTGTAAATAGTGTCAAATCTGCATTGGTTACTAACCGTAACTTTGTAAAATGTAGTGCCCTATCAACATGTCAGAAAAAAAAATAATAATACTAAAAAAAAACTAATGCCAAAATAGCCATGTTAATATTTTAGGCTGATAAAAACCAATGGGTATATGGATTATAGACAAACACATGTTTTGGCTGTTAAATGAGACAGTAACTAATAGTAAATTTTCACTACTGTATTTTCTGCATATTGACTATTGTTTGTTTAATTTTAAGAATTATCATATTGACTGTAAATAAAAAAAACAAAGGGCAGAACAAACCTTAACTTAGCAATATAATGTAGCATAATAATGTAGTGCCCTATCAACATGTCAGAAAAAAAATAATAATACTAAAAAAAAACTAATGCCAAAATAGCCATGTTAATATTTTAGGCTGATAAAAACCAATGGGTATATGGATTATAGACAAACACAAAGGCCAGAACAAACCTTAACTTAGCAATATAATGTAGCATAATAATGTAGTGCCCTATCAACATGTCAGAAAAAAAATAATAATACTAAAAAAAAACTAATGCCAAAATAGCCATGTTAATATTTTAGGCTGATAAAAACCAATGGGTATATGGATTATAGACAAACACATGTTTTGGCTGTTAAATGAGACAGTAATTAATAGTAAATTTTCACTACTGTATTTTCTGCATATTGACTATTGTTTGTTTAATTTTAAGAATTATCATATTGACTGTAAATAAAAAAAACAAAGGCCAGAACAAACCTTAACTTAGCAATATAAATTTTAGACAAACACATGTTTTGGCTGTTAAATGAAGCCATGTTAATATTTTAGGCTGATAAAAACCAATGGGTATATGGATTATAGACAAACACATGTTTTGGCTGTTAAATAAGACAGTAATTAATAGTAAATTTTCACTACTGTATTTTCTGCATATTGACTATTGTTTGTTTAATTTTAAGAATTATCATATTGACTGTAAATAAAAAAAACAAAGGCCAGAACAAACCTTAACTTAGCAATATAAATTTTAGAAAAACACATGTTTTGGCTGTTAAATGAGACAGTAAATAATATTAAATTTTCACTACTGTATTTTTTGCTTATTGACTATTGTTTGTTTAATTTTAAGGATTAGCAATATAAATTTTAGACAAACACATGTTTTGGCTGTTAAATGAGACACTAATCATATTAAATTTTCACTACTGTATTTTTCGCATATTGACTATTGTTTGTTTAATTTTAAGAATTATCATATTGACTGTAAAAAAAAAAACACAAAGGCCAGAACAAAAATGGATAAAAAATAAGAAAGCCATTGTTTACATACAGTAACGCTAATTTTGTAAAGTTTTCTTTTTTTTAATTGTGTGAAACTTACCTTAACTTAGTAATATAAATTTCGCTCTCAATACTTTTTTAAAAAAAAGTGACACTCGTATAAAAAGATATTTTAAAAAAAGTAAGCAAGCAACTTGAAAAGAAATGCAGAACGCTCATTGGTCGCTTAATTGGCCTCGTGTTGTTACTTTCCGTCGTATTTACTCCGCGTAAGCCTCGTATTTACTCCGCGTAAAAAAAAGTTCTTCAAATGAAAAAAAGAAATAGCCAAAAATACTAAGCAAATTGTATCCAAAAATTTTCCTCAGGTTTATAAAAAGCGACATGCAAAATTTGGTACCAATTGTTTCAGTAGTTTTTGAGTTTATCGCGAAACAGACAGACAGACAGGAATTGACTTTTATATATATAGAGATAGATAGACTAGCGGACGTACCCGGCTTCGCCCGAGGTTTTACCCGAGTAAAGGTTTGTCTAACGAACATTTGTTAAAACAATTCTCTATAAACTTGAAAAAAAAAAAAAGATATATTTTGATAATTTGAAACTCGTAAATTTGAATCTCTCGATAAAGTGAACATTTTTTCCCGGTCCCTGTGTGCCGTGTCATCCTGAATTTTGTCTTTCATAATTTTCTACATTACAAAATCATCGTTTTATCTAGTGAACATATTTTCCCGGTCCCTTGAAAAATACTCGATAAGTTGAATAAAATCATGGTCGTGAATCTCTCGATAAAGTGATTATTTTTTCCCGGTCCCTGTGTGCCGTGTCATCCTGAATTTTGTCTTTCATAAATTTCTACATTACAAAATCATCGTTTTATCTAGTGAACATATTTTCCCGGTCCCTTGAAAAATACTCGATAAGTTGAATAAAATCATGGTCGTGAATCTCTCGATAAAGTGATTATTTTTTCCCGGTCCCTGTGTGCCGTGTCATCCTGAATTTTGTCTTTCCTAATTTTCTACATTACAAAATCATCGTTTTATCTAGTGAACATTTTTTCCCGGTCCCTTGAAAAATACTCGATAAGGTTGAATAAATTCATGGTCGTTTATGGAAGATGGACGAAGTTCCCGGAGGTCATCTTGGGCAAGCTCCCGCGAGGCTTTTTTTCTTGTCTACTTGGCATAGCTGTGTTGCCAACTCTGCCCTGATTGGTCGGTGGGTACTTTGACTGTCGGCCGGCGGCCGGGCGAATCCATTCTCGCACGGGGTCTGCCCCACTCCAAACTTTTGGCAAAGCACTTTCTAATTAAAGATTATTGTCTTAAATATTCTTTAAGAACAAAAAGTATAATAATTGAACGATAGGAAATTATAGTAAATAATTATATTAAACTAAATGATGTAAAAATAATTATACATGAAATTTGATATAAGTTTTAGAAAAGTTATCGTTAAGTCCACGGGAAAAGATGTAGCCAAAACAAATAGGTTTTTAACAGTGACACGTGAGCACCCGCCTCGAGACGCGCTCCTCTCTCCTAACATTACTCCCCCTCTTGAAAAAGCCTATCTCCGTCTCAATGGTGGCGCTGCTTGCGAGTTAAAGCTACAAATCTGCAAATAACTCTAAGGATATTAAAGATATTCAAGATATTATTTTTCGTAAACCTTTCCGGGGATATGCCTAATAATATCCCGAAATTTCACGGCGATTGGATGTATGGTTTTCGAATCCATAGAGGACACACACACACACAGACAGACAGACACACAGACATTCAATTTTATATATATAGATTTAACGTGCATATCCTCGATACACGTGCCTTTCAACTTGCAAGGTATCCCATCAAACGTGTGATATCTTATACTGTGAATGAATTATTTTTATCTTATTTTATTTAAGTCTATTGAATTATATGCTTCTGGTAAATCAATTCTGCGATTTATACTCCTATATTGTTTGGACACTATTGCTTCAATTATTAATCTTTGAAATTTATTATTAATATTGTAATAATGTACTTCAGGTTCATTTAAGTTAAATGTGTGTCCTGTTGAATTGGAGTGCTGTGCTATTAATGATAATGGGTCATTTCTGTTTATGTTTCTTCTGTGTTCAATGATTCTATTGTGCAATTTTCTTCCCGTTTCTCCTACATATTTGGCATTACAATTATTACATTCAATAGAATAAATTACCTCTTTTCTGCTTGATATATATTCAGTTTGCCTGTTTTTTGTAATCGGGTTTCTTAAGATATCTGATAAGTTGGGAGAGTTGCTATAAAAGGTTTTTATTCCATATTTATCTAGTGTTCTAGAAATGTGGATGGATTTCGGGGAATATGGGATGTAACAATTCTGCCTGTATATTTTAGTTTTTTGTGCTGACATGTTAGATGTGACCTGTGCCTGATAGAAATGTTTTAAAATAAATGTTTTGGGATTACCAGCTGATGTCAAATTATTGATAACGGTTTGCGTTTCTTGCGTTTTGTATTGATTTAAAGAACAATGACTATAAATTATTTTAGTTAATGTTTTCACTGTGTTAATTTTATGACTAATGGGGCAGAATGAATAAAATTTTATATAATTCACCCCCAATTATATAAAATTTTATTCATTCTGCCCCATTAGTCATAAAATTAACACAGTGAAAACATTAACTAAAAGAATTTATACTCATTGTTCTTTAAATCAATACAAAACGCAAGAAACGCAAACCGTTATCAATAATTTGACATCAGCTGGTTATCCCAAAACATTTATTTTAAAACATTTCTATCAGGCACAGGTCACATCTAACATGTCAGCACAAAAAACTAAAATATACAGGCAGAATTGTTACATCCCATATTCCCCGAAATCCATCCACATTTCTAGAACACTAGATAAATATGGAATAAAAACCTTTTATAGCAACTCTCCCAACTTATCAGATATCTTAAGAAACCCGATTACAAAAAACAGGCAAACTGAATATATATCAAGCAGAAAATTTATTCTATAGAATGTAATAATTGTAATGCCAAATATGTAGGAAAAACGGGAAGAAAATTGCACAATAGAATCATTGAACACAGAAGAAACATAAACAGAAATGACCCATTATCATTAATAGTACAGCACTCCAATTCAACAGGACACACATTTAACTTAAATGAACCTAAAGTACATTATTACAATATTAATAATAAATTTCAAAGATTAATAATTGAAGCAATAATGTCCAAACAATATAGCAGTATAAATCGCAGAATTGATTTACCAGAAGCATATAATTCAATAGACTTAAATAAAATAAGATAAAAATAATTCATTCACAGTATAAGAAATCACACGTCTGATGGGATACCTGGCAAGTTGAAATGCACGTGTATCGAGGATATGCACGTCAAATTTATATATAAATCTTATTTCAAACTAGTTGGATTATTGTTTTATTAATTCCTGTAGAAGGGCGTATGTGCCAGAAAGCTCGTATATATTTTTTTAATAAAGAAACGCAGCCCTTGATGCTTTGTTTTATTCATTTATAAGTCATAATGTTCTTTATCTTGGGTGTGTAAAGCTGCCGTTCCGAGTCCTTGTTAATTTCTGCAAAAAGCTGCGATCATTGCTGGGCATGATAATATGTGGGTAGGCGTTAGTTCCACACCATTGTTTCATGTCCTGTAGGTTCTTGTTCCATCTAGATGTATTGTCATTCCTTTGTAGAATTCCATTCTGAGTCTTGTTTTTCAATTCCTCTCTCAGAGAGTTTATTTCGCATATTTGATCTTTCTTTATTTTTTGCCGAAATATCTTGTATTTTGACGAGGCATTTGCATTCAACCAATATTCATTAGATAATAAGTATTTTTGTCATCAATTGATTATTAATCAAAATCGCCCCCAAATATATAAATATTTAGTTTTTTTGCTTAATTTTTAAGCACTAATTTCTATTGCACTTACTGAGAAGTATATATTGGGAGTTTTAGGCTCTTCGCATTCCTCAAATTTTATCTCCGAACGTTTGCCTGAAGGACGCGAAAGTACGGATGTTTTCTTCAAAAGAGAAAATCAATCGGCTGGAAAAATTTGGTTTCTGGCAAAATTCGGCAGGAAAAATTTGGTTTCTGGCACAATATCGGCAGGAAAAATTTGGTTTCGGGCAAAAATTCGGCTGGAAAAATTTGAAAAGCTTAAAATGTTATAACAATTTTATATATAGGAGTATATGTGTGTGTGATGTGTGAACTATTTGGAAATATTGACGTGTTTAGAGACTGTATTTATAAAGGTTCTACTGGAACAATACAAATGAATACACATTTCAAATAGAAGCGCACCATACTTATATTATTATGGAATATTCTTGTTAATGAGATACTGAATAATAATCTGGATGATAATTGTGAAACAATAGGATATGCAGATGATATTACGTTAATATGTTGGAATAAAACTCCTGAACAACTAAGAAAGACAATAGATAATGTATTAAGAAAAATCAATAAGTGGTGTGAAAGTCGTAAATTAAAATTGTCAGATGAAAAAACAAAAATATTATATTTATATAAATGCAATAACGATATAATAGTCTCAGGTAGCAAGTTAATTAAACCGGTTGAAGAACTTAAGATCCTAGGAGTGACTATTAAAAATCACCGAGTCAGAAGCAAACTAGACTTTACGCTTCACGTTAATGAAATGATCATAAAAGTAACTAGAGCTAGTGGATACCTATTTGGCCTGACAAAGAAAGCATGGGGTCTAGATTTTAGACGAAGACTGATATTGTATAAGACATTATATCGAAGTACAATTACTTATGGTTATCCAATATGGTATCCATTCACAAACAAAAAGTCTAAGGACAAACTAAATTCTCTTCAATATAATATATTAAAACATTGTATACAGGCCTACAGTACA